GCCATACCTGCTACGATAGCGGCGGCAAGCGAAGTGCCCGAAGAAGTGCCGTACCCTACAAGAAAAGTTGCCAATACGTCGTGACCTGGAGCGGCGATGTCAACAGCTGAACCAAAATTGCTTTCGTCGGTGAGCTGCATTTTGGTACCATACGTTGCAGCCACACATAACACTCCATCAGTGGCAGAGCGGCCGAAGGAACAAGGGAAGGATGGGGTTACGTCCAGATCCCGGTTCTCATCCCCTGCCGTGACAACAACGAGCATGCCAGCTTCAGTTGCTTCCCGAATCTTGTCGGTAACGGCTTGGGATCTCCTTGAATCGGAACCTTCCGTGAAGAGAATAACTTTCACATCACCACTCCTCTCATTGATCAGGTAGGTGAGAGCATCCGCCATTGCGGAGAAAGTCACTTCTTCGCCGTCGAATATGGGAAGTATACGCACCTCGTCCAGGATACCCGCCATACCGATCTTGTTATTCCTGATAGCAGCAACGATGCCAGTCATCATAGTTCCGTGCGGTCCTCGCGGACTGGTATCATCATTCTTATCAACGACGTTGTAGCCCTTGATGACGATATCCTTCAAGTCAGGGTGAGTTGCCTCGATTCCGTCGTCAATAACTGCGATGGTCACAGGTGTCCTCTTGGGACCAGAGTCCACGATATCCCAAGCCTCCGGGACAGAGATGGCCTCAAGATAAGCCTTCTGCTTGTAATAGTATTTGTCGTTAGGATCGCCGTTCACAGGACCGAGCCCACGGAAATGGCCACTTTCGTCCACTTCTGCTTTAACGTAGAGAAGGTCGCATGAGAAGAACCAGAATGATGTTACGAGGAGCTTCATTGTAAACCACTAGGATGGGCGATTCGTTTGGCTTCGGTGTGTCGGAGTGTACGCGTAAACTACCTTCTTTGAGTGACGCAGATGGTACGGATGAGTGACGGATTATCCGTGTTGGTACGTAACTGTCAAGGGGTGATCTGTATAGATAGCCCAAGTCATCAAGTGCATCTGCTCAGGTTTGGATAGGTCTAGCACATCGTTATCAGTGTAGCAAAGACGCCTGAATCGTCGTAATGGAGAATATCGAGCCATATTTGTATAGGCATTGGTGGAACCGTACCACGTACGTGACGTACCACATGTAGAACTGAAACGTGTGATACGCTGTCACCGCGTTGTACGCGAGCCTAGGATGGGTAAGTACGCAAGATGGGTATCTTCGCCCGACGAATCAGACGGTTTCAGGTCCCCAACGGCCACGAGGAATGCCAATCGATTTCTAATAGTTGAGGCTTAGCCGTCTTATCTCAAATCTTCCAGATAAGTTATCTTGGGTCAAGATACCTTCGAGGTCCTGTTTCGGTCCTTTGATGATGTACGCCCCACTCTTGGCTCGCGGTGTGACTTCCACCCTGGACATATTGAGTCCATTCTTTTCCCGGAGATACCTGGAAAGTTTCTCTTTCCCCAGTTGTAGTTCTACA